AGTTTGATGTCTATGGAGAGGGAAGCGATTAGAAAAAAAAAAAAAACAGGAAAGATATGATCTGATACAAATGAAAACATGCTCTGTTAAAATCAGCAGCCGATACTTCCCCAAGGGACAGGAATTTCCCTTCACTTGCATCTAACATTTATTAACCTGCACAAGGCCTCATCTCTCATCTTTGCACCTGCAAAGTTCTTTCCCCAAATACTGTGAGGGCTGCACCTCAGTGAGATGGCATCAGGACCATCCTGGAGATGCCCCATGCCAGCTCTGAATGATCCAATCCCTCCTCCCTGAGGGCAAGGCTGAGCCCCAGGAGGGCAATACCCACCCACACCTTCCAAAACCAGCAGGGCAGCACCAACTACAGCAGGCACAGCCAAGATGGAGCTCAACCATTTMTTTATTTCATTGAAGAAAAATGCTAAAAACAACTTCTGGCAGAAATCACTCAAGCTGCTGACAACAAATTTAAATATGTGCTCCTTAAAGAATCAATGTGGGACAACTTCCACAGGAGAGGAGGAAGCAGGTAGGAGGGATAAATTCAGAGTAATTAGAAGAATAAGCAAAGGTTGGCAATGATTCCTTGAAAATTAACAGGCAATTAAAAGAAATAGGTAATTAAAAACTGCAATGCAAACACTCTGTGATGACCCATTCCTCAGAGTGCAGTTTTCTATGGCCCATGCTTGAGAGTGCAGTTTTATGAGGTTTTATTAAAAAGAGCTTGCTTTTATTAATACAGGTGGCTGATATTGAGGGCCTTTCCTTTTAAGGCAGAGCAGGAAAAAAAAAAATCAGTGCTGCCAAATGTTTATTCAGCATCACTGGACCACTGCATCCCATACAAAGCATGGAAAAAGGTGTAGAACATGCTTGAAAGCATAAAAACCATTCCTTTTTTTATTTTTTTTTCTCCAAATCCTGAATCAGCGTGACTGAGTGACAGACTGTTCTGGTCAAGTCCAAGCCCCCACCTGGTATGAATTTCCTAATGCACCAAAAATGGGCAAATTATTCATGTGAAGCTACAAAGGCAACCTGTCTGGTATGCTGGGATTTTGAGCCATTTCCTTTCGGTGAGGTTAAGCTGTAAATGAGTAATCTGCACATCCAGGCACATCCAGCCTGCACTCAGAGCAGCCTTTCTTCCCTCTGATCAAAGGTTCCACGGCTCCACCACAGGCAGGTGAAACAATAATTGATACCAAACAAAGGATGCTGATGTGCACAGTGTAGGGGTGGGTGCAGCTGGCATGGCAGGAATCTGCTCTGGGYTTTCCTTCAGGCCAGCAGGGAGTTTAATCACTCAGCAAGGGRCATTTCCTTTCAGCCTGGAAAGTTATTTAAAGCATCTAATGGTTAAATATCTACTGCTTCAATTAAAATTTCGGATTTCCAAGAGTACACACCTTTCCTGGCTCCTGAAATGATCCCTAAACTGACAGCAGAGTAACTATGGATTAAGAGTTTATCTTTAAAATACTTACCTGGGCTTAGTTCTTCACTGTCATTGGCACAGAAATCAWAAATTAACAATTGATAACATATCCATACATATGGAAATACATATGACACACAGAAGGACAGTGTTGATGCTCGTTTTGGATTCACTGTGTTTAAAGGGCTGCTGAAAAAAGTTTGTTTTTTTAAACTACCTGCTTTTCTCTGTTGCATGTAACCACAAAAGCAACATGAAGAAAAAAAAAATCAAACATTTGAGAACAAGAAAACAACTAYAGAGCATTTAAAGCAGTGAACAACAAAGCCTTTTGTCTCAAAATACTTCTYTGTAGTCTTCTGGCTCACCACAGCATCTGCCTCAAACTAATAGGTTTTTTCTGCTAGAAAAATATGCAAATGGAAAGGGGAAAATTTATTTAACTTTTCRACTCTGACATTATTTTAATTAGTTAAATTTTAATTTGCTAGCCAAAATAAAATCTACAGCAGCCAGCTGCAATTACAGTACAATTCACACTGAGCTGTGATTGACTGTGCTGCCAGTAAACAAACCAACCAGCTTAATGGACCAGTTGCAATTAGATTAACAAAGTTTGCTGGAGCCCAACTCAAGAGCTGCAATAAACCACAGAGGAAGTAAATGGCAATTCTGGGCCAACTGGTTGCAATTTATTGCTGTCGAGGAGGCTGATGGAAGAAATGCCAATTTACAGCAGATAGCTGAGTGGAGATAATTACCCATCAATATAATCCACATTGAAGTCCAGGGTCTCATATCTCCCAGCAATTGTCTTCCCATGAATGTGTATTAAATTTCCTGTTTAGGAGGAAATGGAAATTGAAGAGAGCCTTTTAAAAGCAGAGAACTTATTTGCTGACTTTCTGAGCTGAACAAAAGGAATTCTTGGTCTGTATGAATTTTGAAGAGGTTCCTAGCTGCCTGCACTKATGGTACTGTCAGCTTTTACCATTTTTCAAGATGATTTTGCACTTAATTCACCTTCCTCAAAGCATATGTCTTTGTTTCCCACCAAAAAAAAAAACCCAAAATTCATTCCCAGTTCTTTTTGCAACTCTGTATTTGCACTGAGCTGACAACTTTTCCTCAGCTCTTTTGTTTTGTTAACTAAACCCCACTTTCTAACCTGATTTTATTGTAGAATCTCATGAGACAACCAAAAYTGTATCATTTGTACACCAGACAAGGTAAAGAAGGACCTTGGCCTATCTGTGACCAGATTTATTCTTGTGCTCTTCACTCACACTGAGAGGTCAAACATTGAATTAACACATAGAAACCTTCATTCTGACATCCTGAAGCAAGATATGAGAATCTAGAGCTGGACCACACGTGAAAATAATTTGGAATTAGGGACTAATTTAGGTTGAGGAGCATGTGTTATCTAATCCTCCAGGTGTCTCTTTTGTTTAATCTTGATTTTGAAGATCAAACTTTCAATTTTCTCTAAAGAAACCTAGAAATACAAAAGTAATGGAAATAGAGGGGGAAAAACCCGTTCCATATTCCAGTTAACTGTTCACACCAAAATCAGTGAATGACTTCTCACATCATTTTAAAGTCTGATCTGAAGCCCCATTGAACAGAAGGTCTGTGTGGCATTCCAGATTAAAGAAAGGTCCCATACCTGGGGTGCCAGATGATGGATGGATTTGGTAAATCACAGGTGTCTGCTCAGCAGAGAACTGCAAAGAGAAGTTTGTGGTTAAATGGCAGCAATTTCTCATCAGTCCAATACACTGATGGTGCCCTGCTCACTGCTGCATTTCAGAGACTCACACTCCAGGGCTGATCTTYGAAGCAGAGTCCTGCTCTGGGAAGGGATTAAGGGAAAATATT